CATTTTCGTGAATCTGGATGAATATCGATACTACGGAAGACCCACTCCTCGAATCCGGGCGCTTTTTCTGGACGACCGAGTGAAGCGTAGTACTTGCACCACCAATCCAGTACCGGCATTCCTTCTACACTCAAGGATGGAACCAGAGGTGTGGCGGCCAGCTCCGCGTCTTCTTTCTCGATGATTTTGTCATAGTTGGTCCAGTCGTTCTTGTCAGACACCTCCTTCTGTAATTCATCGCTCAAAGGCACGTTTTTGCGCTGAACAAGTGGGCGGAGTTAGTTGAAGCCGCGCCTTTTTGACCAGTGGATCTTTCCCTCCAAACCACTTCACCAATGAGAAACGCGAGATGGTCGTGGTCCAACTGACTCCTCTAACATGAATGTTGTGAAATAGGCCTTCAAATGGCCATTTCACTACTCCATTTTCTTCGAATGTTGTGTAATAAACGCCAAAATACCGTACCTTTTTTGATGGAACTCTTGTGTACCGGCTAAAATTGGTGATGAAGCAGACGCCTACTAAAGGCGTTCTTTTGAAGGCTCTTGTGTCGTATAAGTTGATCACGAGCGGTGGGCTGAATTGTAAATCGGAGGGCAGCGAAACCTTAATTATCTATGTTACCTAAGTATGAAGGACCCCCTCCTTGACGGCTTTCACGCTCAGTGGCTCCTCGAAATTATCATCTTTTGATAGAAAGCTTTTTTTTACAAAAGAAAGCGGGTAACGAACTGGGCATTTTGATTTTACCAATATTTCCGATGCGCAGACGGTCTTGCTTATTATAGAGAAGCAGACGAATAGGTGGGAATGTGGGTGCTGCCAGATAATCTCTCACACTAGCGGGTGCTGCCAAGATATTCTTCATACGTGCAGCCTATCTCGCACCGTTGAGGAGCTTCAGCGCACGGCCAACTTAATGCAGGGTCCATAATGACCGGGCAAACTACAGAATTTTAGCCCGGTGACTGCTTGCGGGGATCTCTCGATGAATCCGTTCAGGCCCGCTACTGATGACTAGCGTCAAGCCCACCGCCAAATCACAAAACGGCTCAACACCATCAAGTGTTGCTTTATACTGTATGAACAAAGGGGGATAGGGAAGAGAGAGAGAATTGAAGAACATCAAGGACCACTTGAAGTATCCGACGCAAAGGCGTCGAGGTGCAAAATCAAAGATATGAACGTCTAGTTGCAGGTAATTATCTTAACTTCTGAAAACAGACTTTAAAGCGAGCAATGACTGACCATGGGAAATGTAATAAGCGGAGTTTCGAAGTTCGGATCTTTGACTACGTTCGGAATAGGATCGGTTCGAGTCTCCATGTCACCGATGATGAGTTCCAGAAAAGGTCTTCGTACGGAGAGAAACTGAAAAAAATTGGGCTAATGCAGCACAGAAATCGGACAATAAAGTGGGTAGGGAGCTCAAAGCTGCTTTAACTAGACGGAATGCGCCACGCAGTTGCCTTCCGCTGAAATTATTCTAGGGTGTCTCTGACTAGGCACAGGTTTACCAAGATAAGCCGATGTTCCAGCGGGTTCTGCCATTTTCATAAGATAATCAGCGAGCAACAGATCGACCTTGGGGAGATTGAAGGTTCGGGTAGGCTGGGTAGGGCTTTATTCCGTAGCGAGAAAGCTAGCGACACCTGTTCAGAAGTTGAGGCATTGAAGCGAAGCAAAGCAAGCTCACCTGATATCTCTTAAGATTTCTAACCCCCCAGCAGAGGATCTGAATGGCGAAATTCTGGAACTTTGGCCTTAGTTCACCAGGAATTTCGAACCGATCACTAAATGATATCACAGTTTTGTTAGTGGGCAATGTCCTTCGTTTTCGAATCTGAGAGAACTCTTACTCGACAGCTTTTCTCATCGGCAACAGTGGGAGGGCGTCTTTAGTGGATTTGTCCTCACAAAACAGCTCACAGCATCCAAGAACTGCTCCTCTAAACGCACACAGTAAGTACATTTTGTTTTTCCAATGATTGACGTTCCGAAAACGTTTCCATGTGGCGTGAATCGTGCCTATGCGATACAACGCACGAGTACCCGACACGAGGCCCGTCGCGCGGTGAGAAGGCAGGGACGCAGAGGGGTCAACGGACGAGTCGCAGCGCGTGCTGCGTGATGTGGGACCTACTCTATACGTTCTATTTACCCTCACTGTAGTACGCGCTGCGACTCGTCTGCTGCCCCATCTTCGCTTCTGCCCTCTCGCCGAGCAACGGGACTCCTGTCGGGTACCCTACAATATACTGAGCTCAAAGTAGTTTTGCTAGGCGCAGCGCATATTTACTGTCCATATATCGCAGCTTAGCCACAAATTCAGTCCACAAACGATCTGTACGTCCATCATACCTGGACCTTCCATATTGGAAAGTAAGCGTGTTCCATTTTAGAATAGCTCGGGAGTCCGTTGCCGTACATATCACAGTTGGATTCGTTTGAAATCGCCCGAGAAAAATCTGTAATGCTATTGTCAGCTATGGCCTGCTCGGAACGAATCCGAAATAAGCTTGTACTCTGAAATACCTCGCTTCCATTTTTCTGTTCTCCACGCGTTTCCACTAAAACTGTCGGTGGATTGACGCTAATTTGGCGTTTACCACCAGGAATTAGCATCTGAATAAGTGTAGATCTAGGCGCAAGTTTGTTTACCATTTTCGATAAATCGTTGACCTACCCTGTCGAATATGAGCGTTTCATTCCAGACGGGATTCTGTGAATCTTCTATCACCAGAGTTTGCTTTGCCTTTCGTAAGAAATGTGACACGAACAAAGGCCCTGGCAGAGTTCTTCACCACAGGAAGAAGATCCTAGGAAGTCGATTGAGAAGATAGAGCTCATGTCATTGAGGATATTAATTCCACAATGAATCTGAACAACAGTCTTCTCTGTGAGCAGGATAGAGCTATGAAATGTAGAATATGTGCAGTTATAGCGGCACGAAAGCGCTAGGAACTTTCCACGTTTACCGTAGTTGGCTTAGGTGCACACGATGCACGTGCAGGATGCCTGCGTCTCGTTCGTCCCCATGCTCTCTCGACTGCTCTTTAACTTTTGTGCTTGGCATTTCTTCGGCGTTGCTCCTATTCAACGCACAAGCAATGCAGGTTCAAATTTTTAGTAACTTTGGTGGGTTCTTTTCCTTCCTTCTGTCTAAGCCAACTAGCGCTTTCGCCATGATTTTCTAGCATAGCCACCCATAACTTGAATAGGTCCATTAACTTTTTTGGGAACAACTACGATTCCTCTGTCAATTGACCTGTCGTACGATGAGTGGGAGAGGCATTGACTTAGGAAGTCGTTGTGGGACACGCCTGATCTGCCGAATCCGTTTATGGCCTCGAAGCGGGAAGGCCCTCTTTCCCCGTCGCTGTCCGTACTGATGTAGCAAGCACGCGATTCCTTCAGCTGATCGAGCTCAGCACACGCGCTTCGTTCGGTGAGGTAAGCCTGCTTCAGTGGGTTGACAGGCGCGCTCACCTCATGAAGTTGCCCTCGCTCGGCCTTCAGCTCTATCAAACATTGCACCGGAATGGTACCACCACTCTCTTGGCCCCTAAACTATAAGACGCACCGAGGTCAAAGCTTCGCGTTTTAGTGCGTGAACCAGGTCATGGGAACAGTCAATGTTGGCACTTATTCGTTGAAGTATATGTGGGAACTCAGTGCGTTTCTTAGCAGAATTGAATCGCCCCTCCCCTTCCCCCTAACTTCCCCTTTCCCACCATCACAGGAGATTTCTTTCAGCGTCCAAAAATTCGGGTTGTTGTCACTACCGCCCCCTATAATGTCTTTCTCTTGCTGCATTAGCACTGTCGTTAAGCTCGACTTTCCTTCACTACGCCAAAAAAAAACTTTCCTTTACCTTGGCCCTAAAGCAGTTACATTACGTAACTGCCAGGTGTGGTACGTTCGTTGCATGCGCCTTCATACATACGAGGAATGAAGTACATTTCGTGTTCACGATCTCGTGGTAGATTCCTCAAATGTCACTGTTGTATGGAGGCGAAAATACAGTCGCTGGCGCAGATCACATGCCCGATCCAAAGATCGAATCTCAAACCGAATTTCAGTGGGTCCAATCAAACATTCCATCCCTTCAGGATTGGGACTGGTAATATTTACTTTGAATCACATCTACATAGTATCGACACTCTCTGACTTCCACATTGACTTGCTCCCGCAAATCGTTGTATTACCGTATTCAAATGCTACTGCTGTAATCACAATGAAATCTCCATACGACCCTCAATGTGTGTCGAATATTTGGCGCATCCCAAAAAGGGGCTGAACAACGCCTTGTGATTTGTGCCTTCTTTTTCGAGACTTATGCGAGCTTATAATCAAGAGGGATATATAATAGAAAACATGTAGAGGTGCGGAGTTGATCCCTGCAAGAAGCTCTGTGCTTTCAAAAATTCCTCGATAGGGTCGGAGGTCGAAGAAGGGGAAATATACCTGGTTGAAAGGCAGACGGGCCTCCTAGGGGTGCGGAACAATGCGCGTTTCGCACCCATAGGAGGCCCGTCTGCCTTTCGACCAGGTTCCGAGCGCAGAGCACGCCACCAGCGGTTTAGTAGGGCCTTACTAGCACATCTACCGCCTCTGGGCTTCCTCCGGTAGGGGACCCCTCCCTCTGACGCTAGCTGTTCAGCAAAAGAGCTCTTGCTAGGGTTTTAGAGGGCAGCAAAAGCAATGACAGCCGCATCAATGCGGACATTAACGGACAAAGCGGTTCCGTTTTTCGGTCCTGGCCCACTTCTCATGGCTTTTTCTTCATCCCTACACCATTGTACACCTCTAGTTCAATTTCTAGGCCTTCTTGTCGTAAAGTCCCCTTGAACTTCTATTCAGTAGGAACATCTTGGCATGGCGTGACATGATACATGTGAAACACTGCTTCCACGATTGACAGACATTTTTTCCAGATAACTTTGAGTCCGAAGAGATGGGGGCCTATTCAGTCGGGTGGGTTTAGGTCCCGTGGACAGCATAAAAGCAACACGGCGCAACACATTTTGCTATGACTGCACCCCCCCCCCTTATGGTTATACATATCGTGGAAACCTCTAGTAATACGGCTGAGGCCAAGTGAAAGATTGATGAGAACTCACTTCTGTCGTTGCATTTCCATAACGAATCTCCGTCGTCGAATGCAGTCGCCACTAGTTTCCTGATAGTGGAAAGGCTTGTTCTTCCCAACTGCATACTGTAATTCCCGTTTGTTAGTGATAAATTGGTGAATGTATAAGCCATTCACTTGAGCTTACCTCCCACTTGGTATCGCCCAATGACTCCTGGTATGCGTCAAAGTTCTGATTTTGGAAGTCGATCGCTTTACGCGTTCTTTTGATGCACCTTCGGCGGTATTTGTGGTCAGGCCTAAGAATCTCAACCTTCAGCTCGATGTCTTCCCTGGGAGATGTACATGGACTGTCTGACCTTTGTTCAATGTCCACCGTGCCCGGTTCTCCCCAGAATACTTCCGAAATCGAATAAACCCATCCGCTTTTGTCACCATAGTTGTGGTGTTTATCCGGCACCCATTTGCCTTCGTATTTCCAACCTAGAACTCATGAGCTCGCAATGTACATGTTGACTCCTGGGAAACCCCAGAATTGGAGAATGACATTGGAGACTGACGCAAAGCTTACCTTCTCCTGGATCGCGCAGACGTTCCTTCTCAATCTCGCCACCGAAGTAGTCCGTAAACTTCAATGGTCGCCATCTAAAACATATCCATTTAATCCAGTTCACTTATTCGCTTTGAGTTTCACGG